GCTTGAGACATACTCTTCGCTCTCTTTCTCATACCGTGCTGTTGCAAACCTCGAGCATCTTGCAACGCTTCTCTCGTACACACCCATCATGGACTTTACGAACGGTACCAACGGTATCAACGGGCACACGCCTTCATCCTCACAACCCCTCAAAATAACAATATGCGGTGCTGGCATCGGCGGCCTCAGCGCAGCCATCTTCCTGCGTCAACGCGGACACACAGTAACCCTCCTGGAAGCCTCTCGTTTCGCCAACGAACTCGGTGCAGCCGTGCACCTCGCACCCAATGCCAACGGCCTCCTCCGCCGCATGGGCATGGTCCCAGAAGCCCAAGGCGCGGTAGCATGTCGTCTGATGACGCAGATGCTGCCGAATGGCAAGGAACTCTTTACCGTGCCGCTCGAGCACGACGCGGCGAGGTGGCAGCATCCCTGGCAACTTGGGCATCGTGTGAGTCTGCACAGTGAGCTGAAGAGGTTGGCTACGTGTGAAGAGGGGGAGGGGAAGCCGGCTGTTCTTAGGCTGAGGGCGAAGGTCGTGGATGTCGATGCCAAGGCGGGTGTTGTTGTACTAGAAGATGGGGAGAAGATCCAGAGCGACGTTGTTGTTGGCGCAGATGGCGTACACTCCAAGACACGACCGCGTATCCCTGGTGCGGAGAACATCAAGACTTTTGGAAGTGGGAAAAGCGCGTTCCGTTTCCTGATTCCCAGACAGCGGGCGCTGGATGATGAGATGACGCGCAAGTTTGCGGAGAAGGAGGGCCATCTCATCATGATCTTTGCGCGGGATCGGAGAGTGGTAGTATACCCGACGTCCAACAACACGCTGTTGAACTTTGTTTGCATTCATCCGACATCTGAGAGTCAGATTGATCCGGAAGAACCCGGGAGCAGTGACTGGCAGAATCAGGGTAACTTGAACAAGATGTTGGATGTGTACAAGGACTTCGAGCCTGCGGTGCTCAAGTTGCTGGGTATGGCGGACGAGGACACGTTGAAGGTGTGGGAGTTGCTGGACATGGACCAACTGCCGACCTGGACAGATGAGAAGCTGGTGCTTATTGGCGACGCTGCACATCCATTCACACCTCGTAAGTTCAGTCCTCGCTTCATCATCGTAACAAGAATCAAGCTGACCCCAGCCCAGACCAAGGACAAGGCGCAGGCCAAGCCATCGAAGACGCCGCCTCCCTCGCCGTCATGCTCCCCCTCGGCACACCCCTCGACTCCATTCCTGCACGCCTCAAGCTCTACGAAAAATGCAGATACGAGCGCGCCTCCACCATTCAAGAGTACTCCCGCGTAGCAGGCAAAGACCTCGGCAGCGGCCCCCCAGTCGACCCCCACAAGTTCACAAACTACAACTTCGGCCACGACGAATGGGACTACTCCAGCCAGATGCTTCGCAAATGGGAGTGGGAGAACAAGAAAGGTCTGTTTTGGCGGATGCCTACGGCTTTTGGTCCTATGCCAGGGCCACGACAAGACTTCGCTGGACGGCCGAGAGATGGGTCGAAGGCTACGTTCAAGACTGCCAGTATCAAGTTCAAGACGAGCAGGACTGTGTTGGAGAACCTTCTACCGACGGAGAAGTTGAAGTTTGCGGCTGCGGATACGGCTTGCTATGCGAGTTTCGCGGTGACGCAGCTAGACAATCTCGAGTGGCTTGGTGGTAGAGGATACAGTCATTTCGGACTGTACATCCACGGCATCCAGCACACGAAAGCGGATGGCGAGACGGTGACGGGCACATACCTGCCTGTCCTCTTCGAGAACCTGGCTGATCCCATACTGAGTGGAAGAGAGGAACTAGGCTTCCCCAAGCTCTTCGCCGAGCTCGATGTGAACAGTGATGGCGGCAAGTGGACGCTCGACGCAGGCTGGTTGTCATCCAAGTTCTGCAGCATGTCACTGTCTGGGCTGCAGGAACATTCTGCAACGAACGGTGAGGCGCCAAGACTCTCTCCTCCTCTTCCGAAAGACGATGGCCTTTTGTTGCACAAGTATGTACCAGCTACTGGTAACATGGGTAGCAAGGAGCGCGGGCAAGCGGATGTGGAATACACCGCTTTTCTGCCGGGTGAGGAGGATGCGAAGACGGTGGAGAAAAAGGTCGAGCGGACGTTGAAGGCGAGCTCGGCTGAGATCTCTTTTGATGCTTTGGATTGGAAGGCGCTGCCGACGCTGCATCACATTGTCGAGAGACTCAAGGAGGTGCCTGTGTACGAGGTCATCGAGGCGAAAGTAGTCGAAGGTACCGGAGTAAGCGACGTGAGCTCGATCCGGAAGCTAGCATGAGCTGTATCATCTGTAGCTATCAGCACATCTCCTAGTTAGCCATTGACGAACAACAACTTCCAGAAGCGTCTCCCCACCTGCAATACTGTAATGCCTTTCATTCTTCATCTATAAAAAGGCCCCCAACTCCTACAAATGAGACAAGCGCTTGTCCTGAAGCTATAGATATAAATGGGGTATTACCAGGTTCTCCATCTATCAGTTGCCGCCGCCAAAAACACCTTACTGCCATGCCATATCAATGCAACAAATACAACATAGGAAAAAGAAGTGGTGATCAATGCATCTCATCCGAAGAGTTTGGAAACATCGAGTCTGTGCTGGTTTGTTGAGTCGGCTTCTTGGGCGCTGCCTTCACTGGAGTGCAGTCGGACCAGTCTGACTCTGCCGGCGGTTCCGGCGCTGTGCTGGCGGAGCAAGGATGCCAAGAAGGGCGAATATATGCGTCCTCGTCCGGGACATCCGCGCCTGTACTGGGTCAGTCGTGAGCCCTGCAAAAGACTCGCTGAGGTAGAACAGCCCAGAGAGACACGCAGGGAGGTTCTACGCACTCGCGACGCCCAGACCCTCGCAGAGTCTCTTCCTCCACTGTCCACAGACGTCCTCAAACCCATCCAGCACGTTCGCACAAGCCCGTTTCGCCTCCCTCTCTTTGAGCCGTCGGTCCCAGTCCCCATGCTCAATGTATTCCTGTCCCTCTTGCGTCTTCTCGTTGTCGCGTTTCCAGTCCTGCAATTGTTCTTTGCTGACTTTGAGCCTTCTGGCTGCATTCGCCGTCGTTTGCCGTGACATGTGTAGGGTATCGCTGACGTTTGAGAGGTGTTGAATGAGTTCGCGGCTGGAGTGTGTGAGGTGGGAGATGGCAACGAGCGGATCGGCGGAAGGGTGGGGTAGCAGCTCCAGTGTGGACTGTATGATGGGGAGAAGTTCGTCGATGTCTTCCGGGTCGGGAAGGATGGCGAAAGGGCCTGAGAAGGATACGGCGATGGACGTGAGGGTACGCGATTGGTGTGTCAGATGCGTTGTCAGAGCCTCATGGGCAGTCTTTAGTCTGGGGGTTGTTAGCGATATGACTGGACACGTCTGCGAACTAGAACACACCTCGTCGCTCCGTTCTCCATAGCAATCTGGCTGCCAAGATCTCGGAGTTGTTGTGTGACCCTCTTCACCACCTCGTCGGATGCGCTCCCATTCTCCTCCATGCCTCTCCGTGCCAGACTCTCGATAGCAGCCATCCGCGCGTCGAGCGCGGGCGAGATGCCCTCATTTTCCAGGTCCGAGTCGTCACCGTAGTCGGAGCCATCGTACAGCGACCGTTGCCGTGTGTGCTTTTTCGTCTTAACGGCCGACCCTGGACTGAGGCGCGCCGGAGACGAGTCCTGCATGGCAACCCCACTATCCCGTACACCGTTGAGACTAGCTGCGCTGTCGACTCCATAAGAGCCGTCGTGCTCTACAGCCGTGCCGATGTTCTCGTCCTGTGCTTCGTCCAGTTCCTCGCCGTATTCGCCCTCCATGCCCTCGTCGTCATCGTCGTACATCTCGCCGAGCTCGTCGGCCAGGTTGCCCAAGCCATTGCCGTCTCCTCCGCCGTCGAATTGGTGCGCGGGGCTGTGTTCGAATTCGTGCGATGAGCGCGGCGTTATGGGCGAGTAGCCAGAGTTGCGGCGGGTGAAGGACTGCCGTCTCGATGAGGTGTTGTGTGACATGTCTAGGCTGGAGGGGTGTCGGCGGTGCGAAGATGCAGGCCGCTGGGTGGGAGTGCTGGGAGGGGACGACATGGCGTTGTCGTGGTATTGCGATAGTCGCCGGTGTTCCGAACACGTCGAAGGCTCGTGAAGTCGCGGAAATGAACAAAGGCGGACCGCATTAGGAGTCCCCAGTCGGAGATCTACGCGGGAGTGAACCGTGATCCAGGGCGCGCACTGCGCGTCAGCCTCGCAGCACCTGCACGACGCGGCTCTGCCCTAACAAGCCGCCAAAAGTCTATGTAATTGCGCTGGGATAGGAGGTCCTGTGGCGGGGTATCGGCGTCTTGACGGCCTCAGAGCTTCAGCGATGGTGCGGCCTTGGCTGTGGCTGCGGAGATGCGCCTCAGGTACCAGGTGCTATGATGCGTGATGATAAGTGGCTTGTGCCGCTTAGCGATAGAGCGCGTGCAGTGAAGGCGTGCGAAATAACAACGATGGAGCCTCGGTTGCCGTCCAGCCGTTGAGCCTGGTGTTTGTTGACGCTTGCCGGTTGTTTGGAATTAGTGGCTTGCGCGAAGGCTTGTGGACCCTTCTTTGCACGAGTGAAAGGGGTATGGGTATCCTGGTAGCAGGTGACCTTGATACGATGACGCTCGTATTTCACTCATATACTAGTATGCAGCAGTTGTGTCTGATATAGTAACGACTGTGGATTCTTCATAGCTGATAGCACGTTTTGGCTCAGACACATGTCAGACAATACGACCTTTTGCATCCGAACGCTCTCCAATGCTGTGTAACCTCACTCCCAAACACTTTCAAGATGGGTATCGCGTGCGATCATCCTAAGCTGGGCCGAAACACGCTCACAAACTCCAAGACGCCTGAACATGACCTTACTCATGCCGCTATAGGTACTGCCATATAGCACCCATGCAATTCAATGCCCATAGAACTCCGGTAATGCCCTCATAATGCCGCTGAAATGGATATCGGGTGTGTATGCGATTATTGCGCGGGTTTGGTCTGCTCGAGACTGGCGATCTGCTTCTTCAGCTGCGTGAAGAAGTCCTGGCCGGTCGGCATAAGGTGTGTCATGGTGCCTGGTCTCGGTCAGTATGCCAGCCTCAGTGGTGGTTCGATGCCGCCTTACCTCCTTTGCCCCATGCGCCAGTGCTTCGGGTCGGAACGGAGTCGCCGGGGACCTTGTGGTATACCGAGGGTTGGTCTGAATGCATGTTAGTCCTCTGGACATGCGCGCGGGTGATGGAGAGGTTCATACTGGCTGTGCTCTCAAGGTATTCTGCAATCGATTAGCTCATGCCATTTCGTGTTTCAGCAATGCCATAGACGTACTCTTCTTGAGGAAGTCCCTGACCTCGTTCGCATTGAACTCCTTCACGGGTACGTGCTGGTCGGGCTGCGCTTGAGCTGATGCAGCCGCGGGGCCTGGTCCTTTCCCCTGCTTGGCTCCCCATACGTTCCCCGTGGGCGCTGGCATAGCCTGCTGCCGGCCTGCATTGTCCTTGGTGGGGGTGTTTGCGCCCGAGTTGGAGTTGCGGTTGGCTTGACCCTGCCGCCGCCAGCTGTACCAGTCGTCAGTATACATAAGCTCCCACAGCTTCGCGTGCGCATTGCTCAGACGTACCGGTTTTCTCCCGGGCCACTCATGTTCGGTATGGAGCAACGGTGGGATGTGAGGAGGGGTCGGGTCAAGATATAAAATGGTGGAAGCTCTCCAATCGCTCATGCAGCGCGCGAACTGCGTCTGTGCTGCAACGTCTAAACCAATGGGCGCCCGATGACATATTACAGCTGCGACCTCTTTCGGCCAGCTCACCAGTGCTAGCCGCTTTCAGGCCTATTTCAACACTATTCACAGCCATTATCCAACGACTGGATGGCAATTTTTGGAGCTTTCTAATCCGCGCCGATGTGTTGTACATCACGTGTGCTGTCCTCCAATGGCAGGAGCCACCGGACGTGTCCAGCCTACGCTAGCTACAGGGTTCTCAAGGCCTCCATCCATGCATGAACCACGGCAACGGCTCCTAATGGACGAACATGTTCTTTGTTTCCCATCTTTGCTCACCGTCATTGTTCATGGCCCGTCTCGGGATCGAGTCGGTCGGCTTGGGAAAGGAAGAGGCTGGCATGTTGTGTCATCAGCCCGAACATACATCGCCGAACCTAGCCCGGTTCAGGTTTGCAGAGTCAACGTAGGAAGTGACGACCGTGGTTTCCATTCTACGAGTTCAGGTGGAGATAGGAATGTTTGTTTCTATCCAGAACTCATCTCAATCGCGAGATGGCTGACACAGCATCCTAGAGTAACATCATGTCCAGGCCGGTATCGTAGCCAATTCTTTGAGCACCTTCACCTCGCGCCCTATTCGTGTTGAGGTGGACAAGTAAGAGACTGGTCTACGATGAGAGACGAATTTCGCCCTTCAGGTGAGAGAGATCTAAATGACAGCGGAGCCTCTGCCTCTTCTACTTATGTCTGAGTCTTCCTCTCGTCTTCTCACTTATTGACAACAGTCGCTACTTTTGCAATTCGAGACAGACTCATCAAAGTTTCTGACCTGTCTATCCCCAAACTTCCAACAATCAAGCTTCCGCCATTGCATTCACAGATACAAGAAAACTACGAAGATGAGAGCCTTCCCTGTCAAGTTTGTTGGACTAGCGCTCTACATTCATGACCTACAGTCAGGCACATTGACTCTTCTTCACGAACGCCCCAACAGGAAGCCAAAGGTGTATGTACTGAATGAGGAAGATTTTGAAGACGGCGTGGATGAAATCGATGACGAGACCGTCGCAATCCCGGAATCCAGTTTTGAGACAAGCGCCGTAGGACTGAGTCTACGACTATTCAAGAACGATGGAGCTCTCAGAATAACCTTCGAAGGCGAGCATGGCGGAGTCGTAGACTGGACATTCCAAGGCTTAGAAGGCTCCAAAATGGGTAGCATGACTGCATGTGCCTTCACGCAGACAATGCCTGAGGCATCGACAGGTTGCAAAAGTGTGGAAAGTGTGCCACCCGAAATGTCGATCGGCAGTATCCAGACAGTGAGCACCGATCCCATTCCGCAATGCCTCGTTCGACCTCTACCGTTAGGTCTCAGCACCATATCGACTACGGAAACCCGCCCAGTCAAGCCTACAATCAAGCCTAAAATCACGATCAAGCTTCCAAAGGAGAAACCCGAGCTCTTCTCGCCAACTGTCAACAAGGAGATTGATCTCAAACGCAAAGCGACAGAGGAAGTCGAGCAGCCGAAGCCACACAAACTCGCAAAGAGTTCACACGACTCTTTACCATGGCCATCTCACCTGTACATGACATGTTCCCGTACACATCCTATCTCCAAATGCGACGTCGGAACATTGCATATCGACTTAGCTGAGGGTACAGTGTGGTTTGAGAGCTGGTATGGCAAAGCAAATGCCCGAACTTGTGAAAGAAAACAGGTTAATCTCAGTGACAGTCTTAGTAAGTTTCAACCGGGGAAGACTCCTTGGTCTCGGATCCACGTCAAATACTTACAAGTAATGTCTAACATCTCAATCCAGCCAGCGTCGGTTATCATGCCTATGGTTATCCTCCTGACGAAGACGAAGACCCCACCCACCACCTCACAATTTCCAGGCCGAACACGAGAAACGAAGACACTGAATTGTTTGCCGCGAACTGTATCACACCCAAATGGCCAATATGGGGTTCAGACATAGGAACAAGCCCACCTCCCCCTGTTGTTCTCACAGCTAAAGAGGAAAGAAGAGCCCAGGAAGCCGGCATCGTACGCAAAATGCCATCACCTCTCCTCATAGAGAAGACAACAAACATTTCACCTGCCGTCATCGTCGATGCGATCATCCACTGCATTGACCGCACGTCAAAACGTCAACCTGTCCATGACCCAGACACAGACCACAAGCTGTCAGAAGACATAGAACGCTACACCAAACTTCGAAGAGACAGGTGTCTGACTTCAAAAGGGCGGGTTGACCTGGAGTTCACGGAAAATGAAATCGAGACGAGAAAGGCCCGCAGAGATGCGTACAGGACTGTGGCGGGTGAGGAAGAAGGTGACAAAATGGTCAAGCTGGGGGGTTTCACGTAGAACAGAGTGGAGGAAATTGACTTCGATCTTCAAAAGATCTGAGCGTGGCTGCCGGACCACAGCGAGAACTAAGCTCGTTCAAAAGCGATTGCTTTGTTTGCTGCCGCGGTCCTTGGGAGAGGTCGATTGAAAGAGTCCGCAGTCCGACTACTATGAGTTTTTGGGAACTGTGCATTTGGTCTACATTCAAACCGAGCTCACCAGTAGCTGAATATTCAATCATTCTTTCATGATCATGCATTGAGTTCGAGAATACTACCATTCTAGCAGAAGAGGTAATATACCCTCAAAGTGGACACAAAACGTAGACATATATATACTGAACAACATGCGCTGCTCGTGCATAAATCAAATAATCATTGGTATACATGAACCCGCACTTCCTTGTGCATAACCCCAAAGTCCAAACTTTCAACGAAACACAGTTGCACTTGCCTCCCATGGATATATCTACGCCGGCGCAGCAGCCCCCTCGCCATTCTCCCCACCATTGCCAGTTCCACCCGTAAGACTAGACATAAACTCTTGCCATCTAAACACCTCGGTCCTATTGCCCAAACTCTTCCCTCCCTTAGCGAAAGCTCTCCGTCCACTAAACCCCTCAATAGCCATATCAATCTCCCGCTCCGTCAACTTCCTCTCCCCAGCTTCAGGCGCCGTATGCAACAGCGCGTCCTTCAACTCCGCCAGATCAATCTGCCCATCGTCGTTGTCATCGAAGGCCTCAAATGCGGCGGTGAGCTCGTTCTGGTGGGAGAGGTTGCCGAGGAGGTCGGATAGCGTTGTCAGGTAGGTCGCTAGGTTGATAGATTGTGCGCCGTTGAAGTAGGTGGAGAGTTGGGAGGGGGTCGCCGAGAGACCGAGTTGGGAGAGCATGTCTGCGACGTCGGCAGAATTGACGTGGCCGTCGTCGTCGCGGTCCATGACGCTGAAGGATTCGCGCATGCTGTGGAGGAGGGGTGGGGGCAGTTTGGAGAGGGCGTCGCTGGAGGCCATGCGTTGCATGGGTGCTGGTCGCGCTGTGCGCTCTGCTGGCTTGTAGGGCTCGACGGGTTTGTATGTCTCGACGGGTTTGTATGTCTCGACGGGTTTGTATGTCTCGACAGGCTTGAAGGTTTCGACAGGTTTGTAGGTTTCGACTGGCTTAAACGTCTCGACTGGCTTGTATGTCTCGGCCGGCTTAGGCTCCTCAACTAGAGTATGAATCTCGGCTGGCTTGAAGCTCTCAATTGGCTCGGTATTTTCGACCGGTGGTGACTTCTTTCTGCTGAACAGAGGCGGTGGTGCGTCGTCCCTCCCCGCGGCCTCAAACTTGGCTGCGATGGATGATGTACTTAGAGGGCGCACCGTCATCTGCGAAGATGAGGAAACATTCCGCGTTGGCGAGACATTGCGTCCAGGCGAGAGATTTCGAGAAGGCGAATTGGGCGCTTCTGGGGTGCCCGTCGTCCCCCGTGTGTTCAGCCAGGATGGCGGGTTTTGCGATGGGTTGCCCCCGATGGACAGGCGGTTGGGGGTTTGCGCAGGGGATGTCGGAGTCTCTTTCGGTTTGAGAGGCGAACTGTTCGGCGTCGATGGTCGCAGGGTAGACGGTGAGCTCTCCCTGATGGAGCCTGGTCTGCGGAAGGGCGACTGGCGCGGGCTGTTGAAGGAGAGGGGCGAGGGCTTGTAGGGCGTTGGTGTTGTAGACTGCATATCTGGATTAGTCGCATTCATACAATTCACAAGGGTCCAGCATACCATGGTGCGTATATTCGTTTTGGTGATGTCGCTGGTCGTCGCGTTGTTTGGTGTTGTCAATGGGATGGCCTAGCAACGAGCCTATCGATAAGCTGACATGGGTAATTGGCGTGGACATGCAGGGTTCGTTCACTCTCTGCGGGCAGCATAGCGGGTCACACGCATAGTCACAGCTCCGGATACTATGCGGTAGCCATTCACGCTCCCAGACCCACGGCCTGCTGGATCAATCCCCCATCGCCGCCAGCTACAGCGCGTCATGTTGTTTCGGGACGGTTACATTAGGCTCCCCTAGCGCCGTCGATCTATAATGTAGCATCCGAGTCGCCAGGTGCCCGTACAGAAGATGGAGACACTCATGGCTGAAGTAATCGCACAGCGGCCAAGCGGGCCCAATGCCGCTCAGCCTGTTTCCCTGCAGCGCCAGCCCTCCTTCTCCTCGTTCCCTCCCTCGCGATCGCCCTCTACCCGCAATGGCCACCATCCGAAAGCTCGCTCCCCGCAACCCCCCATGCTCCGCGAGGGCGACGAAGACGACTCGATCCAGTCCTCGCACGGCGAGTCGTATCAGTCCTCCATGGCCGCCATTCCCAGAGGGACCGCCAAGTTGCGCTCGCAGTATCCCGCCGATGCAGTTGAGAACCATGTCGAGTACATCCTGGTCGCCTCGTTCGACATTGACCGCGGCTCCATCATGGAGCACCAGTACCCGGCGGCTATCAGTGGAGACGAGACTATGCTAGCAGAGCTTATGTTGCCCGATCAGGCCCACGTGCGCAGCCAAGATTGGACCATCTT